TCTCTCTCTTTTTCAAGTTGAGTCGTAAATCCTAAAAACGTAGTTGTGAAGGATATTTTAGTGAAGTAGTACCATGATGAGGCGACAATTGAATATTATGGACACACCTACTTCGGTCGATTGTGGAAGAGATGTTAGATTCCGGCGATCCTTTCGCACTTTGATGGAGTGCATGGTCCCCGCTTGCTGCGCCTTCCAACAATCAGAAGCTCTCTTCAACGACAGTTGTAATACAGTCACCGGCACTTTTTTAGGATACAGAAACGGTAGGGTCAGTTTCTGCATCCAACAAGACACCAAGAGCAGTCCAATCTTGCTCTTGGAATTCGCAGTTGTAACATCATATCTCGCTCGAGAGATGCAGCATGGCCTCCTCAGGATAGCTCTCGAGTGCAAAGGGGGATGTGGCTCTCTCTACAAAGTTCCGGTTTGGTCCATGTCCTGCAACGGCCGGAAAGTTGGATTTGCCGTCAGGCGTGAGATGAGCGAAAATGACGACAGCGTGTTGAAGCTTATGCATTCTATCTCTGTTGGGGCTGGGGTTTTACCAAAGTTGGGGGAGAATTTTAACGGTGACGATCTCATGTACCTTAGAGCTAGCTTCGATAGAGTAATTGGGTCACCCGACTCTGAGTCCTTTCATATGATTAATCCGGTCGGAAGTTCTGGACAAGAGCTAAGTGTATTCCTTGTCAGATCTTAACTAGAAAAATTCTTATTTTTTACAAAAATGCTAGTGTAACAGGATCGGCGACCGACCAAAAAACAGGATGCCGAGGTGGTCACTGACCCTGTCACTATAGCGCAGTTGTATTTTTTTAGCATGTACAGGTATATATGTGTGTCTATGTCGGAGTACTGAAATATTGTACACAATCTTCGTATTCTGAATTTTTACTAGTTTTTAAAGAGCCTATCTTGTACTCGTACTTCAAGTAAACTTTACCAATTTTCTTCACATTGATAAAAGGTGAGTGAATAAAGAAAAATCTTAATTGTACCAATGATTACCGAACTTTCACTCTAACTATAATGAGGTTATTGAACTTCAATTGACATCAATCGGGTCATTGAATTTCAATTTAATAATACTTATACCCCAAACAGAGAGCTTTGGTTTATGTTATAGATTAAAGTTAAATGGCCAAATAGTTGTAAATTGAAGTTCGATGATCTAATTACAATTTTTATTGTAAAAGTTGGATGATTGTTAGTACAACTAACTACGTCCATGTGGTTGCCATGTATGAAAAAGTTGGGTTTAACAACCATTGCAGTGATTGCACAAACAAAGTGGTTTAATTTATATATGCTAAATTGAAGTTTAAGTGCCACGATTTCTGCTTCAATGACCTGATTGTTATTTTGCCCTAGGGCAAGAAAAAACCATAAACCCCTTAGATCTTCTGTTACCGGAAGAAACCATTGTATGAAAAAGAAATCAAACCGTCCAAGATACAGATCCGGGCACTCAAACTATACTCACTCAAGATTACATCAAAATCAGCCTTTCAACCGCAACAATCGTTCGCTCAAGAACATCACAACACTTCTCAATATACAGATCACTCAAGAAAAGTATTACATTGAGAAAGTTTGAAAGTTCGAAAAACTTTCAGATTTTAGAGTGAGAAAGAGGTGAAGAATTTCAAGAGCCAGAGATACAGGAAAAAGAATGAATTCCTCTTCAAACCCTAGGCAATGAATGAAATATAGAAGTCACCAGAAGGTCAGTCAATCCAACGATCATTGGAGCTGACACTTGGCAATATCTCGGGCTTTCATTTCACTAAAGAAATCACATTCTTCAAAAACCCCTTTTTGCCAATTTAAAACAACTTTAATCAACCAAGTCAAACATTCATCTAGTCAGCATATGAGTCAGCATCATTGTGCCACTTTCTTCACATGTAGTTAGGGTGAAATCTTGGTGATTGCCACTACAATTGACCTATAAAACCAAGCTTGGCTCATTGAACAATGGCTCGAACTCAACCTAGCCTGTGACAAGTCGAATATGGCCACCAAGCTAGCCTTTTTATTTTATTAGACTTGGAACCTTGGACCCACTTTAAAAAGGATCAAAATGAGCTTAAGGCATCTATTGAGTTCGGCCATGATCTGCTATTCTCTGAAAACATTATTGTTACCCACCCATTAATAAAGTGATTTTCATGTCTGCACCTTCCAAAACAACCACTCCAAAGAGGACAAGTATCACCTCTGAAGTCAACATTTCACCCTCATCAATCAAAAGAGAGTAATGATTGCCTAGACAGTAGGTAATTATGATCTAGATCACTACTAAATCCTATGTTAAATGGTTGGTCTGATCGGTCGAACTTAGCATTCAATCAAATCTCTTCAAATAGAGATTGTAGCACACAAATTGAAGTCAGATTGTCGATTGAAGGGATAAAGGGCGGCAAGCTCTTGATTGGAGGCTAAGGCTTATATATATGGGCAATGGTTCCCTACAAGAGACAAAACTAAGCCATTGCAAATCTGCAATACACTACCAAAAACACTTGTAATAGATGTTACTCTTTTCCTTGTAGTATTACAACAATTATCTTAACAAATTTCTCTTAAGTTGAATGAAAATTGCGACGTCAATTTTAGTCATCAACAGTACTATTATTATCATCCATGTAAAACGACTTATCAACAGTTGCGCGTGCTTATATTTTCGATTGCAGCGACAAATTGTCATGTCATGGCATGGCCATGCGTGCGTGCACCCACTCAAAAGCTAAAAAACAATTGATTTGCATGTGCACTTTTAAGTGGGAGATACAATCATGTTGGTGTAGGATTCAGCAACAAATTCTGAAACTGACTTCACCTTGCTCCCTCCAAATGAATATGGACATAAATATCCAATCAACTAAACAGATGCGACACAACAAAAAACAACCTCACGAGCGGAAAATTTGCGTTTCTCTTTGTTTTTTTCTTGCCCCAAGCATCAAAAGTTGTCGAGATTGATCATTCTCACTTTTGACTGTCCCCTAAACATATTCCTATTTGCTACTGTCACGTCCCTAATTCGTAATTACTTTACTTTTGCATGATTGTGTTAAAGAACATCATCCATGTTGATTATTTTATCTTTTTATTCATAATTATTACACCAATCATACATGAATAAGTTAATATTGGTTTGAGATATCTATTCAATATATATCGACTTATAGAAACATTTAAATTTAGAATCAGACAATAGTGACATAACATTTAACATAATGATTTATATAATGTCACATGACATTCTATTACTAGACTTTTTAAAATACAGCCAGCTTTCCAACCCAATCTCATTCCGTCACACTGCCTTTTGTCAAAGAATCTAGCCATATTCTTCTGTCACGATTGCATTTTCCTTAAATTTAACTAGTTGGTGCAAGTTAAGTTTGAATATTTTACACTCAATAATTTTATATCTCGGTTTAATTAAGCATTTTAAAACTCTTATACTTAAATCCGAACAAACTAAATTCAATTTACTAATTCGTCACTCTCATGTCATTTATTTCTTCACCTCAACCAAGAAAACAACCCATCGAATAATGTAATCTTTCATACCCACCAATTATCAATATAATTTTGGTTTAGTAATTTAAAATATTTTAATAGATCTAGAATGTTAAATTAATTTTAGATTAAATACTATGCTTACTTGTCAAATTCACTAGTAAGGGAAAATATCACCTACATTATAAAATAATCAAGTTGTTGAAATATAAGGAAATTTGTCCCTATACTCAAAAGTATACTACTTTTTGCACTTGGATTCCCATCCACTTTTCTTTTGGCATTCATGTCTGATAACATGGCTTATGGTGCACGAAAGTCGTTTCTAACAGAAACTTTTAAAAAGTATAAAGTAATTAGCCAATCTGTCACTGCATTACCCTCTCAAAAAACATGAGATTTTTTGTATGTCGTAGATGTGCCAAATAGCCGACAATCACATGAAAGCCGCACGGGCCTGTAACCTCGGAATTAGCAAAATTTTAGCACTAGTGGAGACCCGCAAGTAGAGCCCGAAGTTGCACTAAACATATTAATTCAACCCAGACTTGAGATTTTGGTTTTTTGCTTTTGCCAATTGAGGCGTCGTCTGTTTGTCTCGAGATCAAGAGTATGTTTGGATGTGTTTATAGCTTAAGAATAAGCTCCAAGTCAGCACACATAGGTCCCAAAGCTTAAAAGAGATAATAAGATACCTAAATGAAACTTATTTTCCCCGATCTAATGGCAGCAGTGGCAATGTAGCTGATCCGATTATGATCAATCCCAACTTCTCTTTAGACACAACCTTTTTAAGTAACTATTGACATACAAAAAGTGTAGCACAGACCAAGGTATGAAACCCAATTAGGAAGTCCAGAATGAAGACTCAAATAGGACCATTAATGAATTCAATGGAAGCCCACGAACATCATCTCCCAAACTTGCAAGACGCCCAAGATCTAAGCGAGTGCAGTGCCTTAAAATCGCCCAGAGCGAATGAGTCTGTTCTCGCCCAAACCTTCGAATCGCCTAAGATCTTAGCAAATATGAGGTATTATGGTTATCCAGAGCAGCGGTTATTGAGTAACTTTATCACACCCCACGATCCAAGGATCACAGTTGTAGGTGGTTGAACGACGTAAGTAATGGCAACAATTATAGACGGCAGTTTCATGACAAGTCAGCCATCATAAAAAAAAGTAGGTAATTATAGAGCAATCAAGCAGTTTCCAAGTGGTTTTTCATGAAAGAATTATCAAGGAAGTATAAAAAGGAAGAAAAGATATAGAGAAAATGATCCTTAATCAAACACTCTAAACAGAGAATATGTGATTTCAATTTCTTAGTTTAACTTTAAACACTTCTTTTAGTACTCGTGTGCTTGAGCCCCTTGGAGGTATTCTGTTTATTTCTAATTGTAAATCATCGCCAATAAAACACCCATTTTTGGGACTTTGTTTCAAGAGGTCTGTTCCTTACACAATTGTTTGAATTTTTTTTTTTTAATTGTTAGCGTCAACCAGCACGAAACAATTTGGCACGCCCAGTGGGACATTGGTGTTTGGTGGTTGAGGATACAAAAAGTGAAATAATATGCCTCATAAGTCTGATAAGGAACTAGCAAGTCAGGGAGTAGTCCAGTCTGTGATCGACCGATATGAGGAGCAGCAAAGCTCTCCACGAATAGAGGGACAAAGTCAAAGTAGTCACAGTCATTACGAATCAATGACAGAGTTAAGTCCTCAAATCATGCGCGCATTGCTTGGAGAACTCACACAGGATGTCATTAAACAGATAAATTTATGAAATGTTCATAATATGGAAAGATTAACCCAAAATGGGAGTGCACATTATGACAACATGGCCAAACAACTGAATACATTAAACGAAATAATGAACAAGTTAGTAGGCCAAATATGTCGCCAGTTGTGCCTATTGCAAACCACTTTTAAATTAGGACGATTATAGGGCATAATTCCCCAGTCTTAAATTCAAATCAAGGGATATAACTACCTTTTGATCCGTCTACTTCAAATCAAGGGGGCGGTGTAGTGCCAAACTTGAATACTGGTAACGATACGTCAAACTTGGGGGTAACCTAAACATAAGAGAAAATGTCCTGAATAATGGACAGAATACTCCTCGTGTTAATGATGGAATAAATACTCAAGTTAACAGTAACAATGA